TGTTTTAAACCTAACATTGTGTTTCTTGAGGCACAGTAGAGGACTTCGCTTATCTTAAAATGGTTCGCTTTAATAAAGAAATTTTTCATCGATATAAAGACAAATCTAATGATCTAGATTGGCTAAACACCCACGGAACGCACTTTGAAGATACTCTCAGACTTTTCTGCGTGACGGAAATTCTGTATTTCTGAAATTTTTTCTTTACATAACTAAGTATTGGTACACATACAGATATCAATCCAAATCGATAGTGTTATTAAATTTTCATAAGATATTGAATTAACATTGTAATATTTATTTTATCGTCTCGTTTATTATAGTACTGGAAGCGCTCGACAACGTTCTGTTGGAAGTACATCTACATTTGACAGGACCCAATTTTATTTACTTTGGATCGACGATTGCATTCGAGATGATTCTGATGAATGTCGTCGAACGAAGTTACTTCTTCGCGAACTCATTCCGTCTGCTGAATTTCAATGGGATCTTGACGAATCTGCGTCCATAATCAGTCGTACAAAATACACCGAGAAAAATTTTCTCATTGTAGTTTCTGGTAGAAAAGCGTCGCTCTTGTTCGACTATCTAACTTATTACGATTTAAATGATCATATCGAAGCACTATTCATCTTCTGCAATAAGCCTGACGATTATCAACATTTGTATCATGAGAAACTGTTGGGTATCTTTACAGATGTTAAACTTCTTATCGACTCAATACGCGTAGTCACGTACCTACAATCAAGTAAAAAGGTAGAGTCGTCCCTTAACTTCTTCGATCAGGAGCAAGCATGGTGTCGATCGATTTCTATAATGACATTACCACGCATTTGGCATCAACTTTTACTTGAGATTGTAATGGATCTACCTCGAGATGAACAAGCTAAACAAGATATGATTAAAAAAAGCAAAGAATACTATGCCAAAAATAGTAAGGAGTTAAAGAATATCGACGCGTTCACCAGTGGCTATAATTCTGAACTGGCAATTGAATGGTATACAGCCGATACTTTTGTTCATAAGCTCGTTAATCTGGCACTACGCAGCGAGAATATCGATCTTTTGTATGCCTTCCGTTTCTTTATTAGCGATCTCAATGCAAAGATCAAACGATTGCAAATTGCACAGCAAACTATGTATGAAACCATAGCATCGGAAATCAGAAGTGGTACAAATTCTCGCATCAAACTATTCAGTGGTCAGCAACTGCGACCAACCGACCTAGATACACTTAAACAAAGTGTAGGAACCATTATTTCTATCAATAATTTTCTTTCTACCTCGATGGATCGAAGTCAAGCTAAAGACTTCGCTGATCAAGGCCTATTACTATCAGATATGCAACGAGTACTCTTCGAGATTTCACTGAATACTTCATTACAAGAAATAGCTACATTTGTCGAAATTGAACATCGTACAAAATTTCAGGAAGAACGAGAGGTTTTGTTCGATTTCAACACTCTTTTTAATGTCACTTATGTTGAATACGATTCGTATGAGTATATTTGGAATGTGAAAATGATTGCCATTCCGAAAAGTTCAATCAAGGAACATCCATATCTTAGCACTCTACGAGAAATGTTCGTCAAAAACCATTCGGCTACTGTTGCCTTCGGTATCGCTATGACACATGGTTTTGATAAAAAGGACCAAGCACTTCATTATTTCAATCAATTACTACTCACTTTACCATCTTATCATGTTGATATGCCAGACATTTTACAACAACGAGCTATTTTATACCAAGAAAAAGGTGAACATTCATTGGCTTTAAGTGACTATGAACGGGCACTTGAAATTCGTCGTCAACGTGTCCAAGAGAATCTCTTGGGCATTGGTTCACTCAACAGTAATATTGGTAATCTTCAAAAAACAACATCCAATTTCGAGACAAGTCTAAACAGTCATCATGCAGCGCTGAGTACTTATGAAAAATTGTATGGAACCGAGCAAGACCATGTAACAAAAGCGAAGGTAACCGAAAACATTGGTTTGACTTATTATAGCAGTGGAAATACACTCAAAGCACTCGAATATTTAACGCTTGCTCAAACCGTATACAAACGACTTTTGCCTGAAAAACACCTATTCCAAATTGAACTTCTTGGTCATATCGGTACAATTCATGAAGCAACAGGAAATTTAACTTCAGCAGAAAAATTATTTCGTCGTCAGCTAAATTGGAGTGAGACAATTCTACCATTAGATCATCCTCTACTCATTACATTTCTCGATTCTGTCTTGCGCATTCACATGAAAATGAATCAAACATTAAATATTAGCACGATATTCACTGAATATTTACAAAAACTCAACAAAACGCTGGGTCCACAGCATCCTGC